CAGAGTTTGTTTCAGCAAAATGCTAGAGAACCCATTTGCTCTGTACTTAATTTTTCTTACATTTGGATTTGTGACTTTTGCAGTGTGATTTGTTCATCCAGGAGGGGGCACGGCTGGGAAGAACCCCTGCTGAAGTTGTCTCCACCTGTGACATCACCTTTGCCTGTGTATCAGATCCAAAAGCAGCAAAGGATGTAAGAATTAGCTCTTATTTTTCCTCCACCAGCTAGACTACAAGATACAGTCACTGAATACCAGTTCTGATTCCTACTAACTGTGGTAGCCTGGGTCATTGTAGGTGCTGGGCAGTGCAGCTATGTAAAAATAAATGTCCCAACAAAAATCATACTTTTGAAAAAATAATCCCTGGGGGGAGTAGGTTTTGATATAGCTCTAGGAGTCTACCGCTGCAGTGCCAGACTTGCTTGAACTGCTGTCCTGCAGGATTGGAGTTTCTTTGCAGACACCCTATTGCTTTACCGCTCTAGCTCTTCTGTTCCCCACAGCTGGTACTTGGTCCGAGTGGAGTGTTGCAGGGGATTCGCCCAGGGAAGTGTTATGTGGATATGTCCACCGTGGATGCAGATACAGTCACAGAGTTGGCCCAGGTAATCATATTGAACTGAACTTCTAACATCTGTGATTCAGCAGCAGTACTGCAGTTCTTCTTGCTTCAGGTGGTAAGCTGTTGATAATAAAGATGCTTCTGGAGATTTTTGGGCTTCTTTTGGGAGACACTCAAGTCGCAGGCAAGTAAGACAAAATAAACTGTCAAATCTTGACCAGCAAACAAAGTTGGATGAGATGTTTCCTGGTGATAACAGCAAAGCCTGTAGATTTGGCAGGGCTGTTAGCTGGCACCAGTGCAAACAGCCAGCCACATTTCGATCCCTTAAGAAGTATTTATAGCCAGATTGGTATTCTGTAGCAAACCGGAGGAGAAAGCACTGTCTGGATTCATAACTGTCCTTAAATTGTAACGTGCATAATCTACTTATTTTAAATGTTCTGGTTGGGGAAAAAGAATGCCTTCATGTTTCATTCTGTAAAAATATTATTATAGAGAGGATTTCTGTAGAAGTGGTCTGATTATTTCTGATGTGGTATCTTTGATTTCCTCTTTGGCATCTTGATTGTTATCCTCTGCCCTAAAGGCAGTGCGTGTGGTTGCACAAGGAAGGGGAGCTAGTTTTGGTGAAGTTTTAAGGAGATGCATTGGTGATGCAGTAGGGTGTAACATGAATTTGGAGAATGAAGAGTCATACATATTAGTAAACCTCTGGTTGAAGAGATTTGTCAAAGGCCTTTCCTCTTTGGGGAAAAGAGGGGAAAATATCATAACGGTCAATCTTCTGAGATTCCTATGCCACATGTACAACTTCAGCACTGATTCCTTAGCCATTACAGGGTGCCATGGCAGAAGCACGTAAGTTCAGCTGCTTAAAACATGCACAGTAGTGATGGGTGCAGGAAAGTGTTGCTGGAGTGTGAGGGCAACTTTTGGTCTCGAGTACCCTTTGCAGGATGCAGTGCATCACATGCTAGTGCTTTCTTCTCCTGTTTGTATGTCTCAGCTATTTTTTCTGCTTTAAAATTCTGTCCTCAGGGCCAGGA